GAGTCGTGGGAGCAGGAAAAGCAACAATTGCTTCCACTTTGCCAGTTACTGAGCGCACTTGACCTCGTCCCACTTGTTTCCCTAAGTAAGTCACAGTAGCCTTCCCAAACTCACACTTGGCCAAATTGAGGGTTAAAGAAGCATTCTCCAACCGCTGAAACACACTTTTCAAGGTGGCGAGATGATCAGACCAAGTAGACGAATGAATCACCACATCATCAAGGTAAGCAGTACAATTTGGCACATCGGCGAACACAATGTTAACTAGCCGCTGAAAGGTAGCAGGTGCATTACACATTCCAAAGGGCATCACAGTGTATCGTACGAAGTTATCTGGCGTAACGAAAGCCGAGATGTCAGAAGCTCGAGAGGTCAGCGGCACCTGCCAATAACCTTTTAGCAAATCTAACTTGCTAATGTAAGCAGCAGAGCCAATTCTATCAATGCAGTCTTCTAAGCGAGGTAGAGGAAAATAATCAGACTTTGCAACGGCATTTACTCGACGATAGTCCGTATATAAGCGAGACGTACCGTCAGGCTTAGGAACAAGAATACACAGGGAACTCCAGGAGCTGTTACTGGGTTTTGCCATGTCATTCTGTAATAAATAAGCTACTTCACTTTTCATTACCTCCCTTTTCTTTGCATTAACCCGATACGGATGCTGACTTATAGGAGCAGCGTTCCCCACATCCACATAATGTTCCAAGATGGACGTGCAACTTGGAACGTCCTGAAACACATTGAGAAAACTGTTTATCAATAGGATAAGATGCTTAGTTTGCTCGTTATCCAAATGTTCCATTTGAGAGGGTAACTTTTTCAACATCTCTGAATTACATAAGCGTTCACACTGCTGTAACGTATGGCGTAACTCCAACCCGTCCTCCTTATCCTCCTCTAGGTCCAAGCCAGGCTTCAGCACAACCGCAGCCACACTGGAGACGGCGGCCTGGACCGGCTTACCTGAGGAACTGTTGGGAGAATCACGCACATAATATGCTTTCAGCATGTTAACATGACACACTCGGGAAGAACGCCTCCGATCTGGGGTCTTTATTACATAATCGGAGTCACGGAGTTTCTTTTCCACAAGATATGGTCCAGAAGAACGTGATGACAGAGATGAGCCAGGGATTGGCAACAAAACTAAAACTTGATCCCCTGGTGCAAAAGAACGGCCAACAGCCTTTTTGTCATAACGCAACTTCATGCGTTTTTGAGTAGAGGAGAGAGACTTTTGGGCTAACGCACATGCAGCGTGCAGTCTCTCCCGCATCTTACTGACATAATCTAACACATTTTTAGGGGCACTACTGGGTGTAGGAGATAAGATATGCTCCTTCAACACTTTCAGCGGACCCCGTGGGGTGTGTCCAAACACAAGGTCAGCAGGGCTGAACCCTAAGGACTCTTGTATTGGTTTCCCTACTAGCAAATAGGACAAAGGGCACAGCCTCATCCCAATCGGTACTGGTATCCATGCAATACTTGCGTATCATTGCCTTCAGCGTCTGATGCCAGCGTTCGAGAGCCCCTTGACTCTACGGATGATACGGACTGGAGACCTGATGGGAAATACACAGCGTCTTCAACACATTAGAGAACAGCTTTGACATAAAATTGGATCCCTGATCAGTTTGGATTACTTTAGGGAGTCCAAACGTATAGAATAACTTTACTAGTACATTCACGACAGTCTTAGCCGTTATTGTACGGAGAGGAATAGCCTCTGGGTATCGAGTAGCACTGCACATTATTGTTAGTAAGAACTGGTTACCTGACCTGATTTTCGGCAACGGACCTACACAATCAATAATCACTTTTTCAAATGGTTCCCCCACCACAGGAATCGGGCAGAGCGGCGCACAAGGAACTGTTTGATTCGCTTTCCCAGTGAGTTGACATACGTGACATGTTTTACAAAATTGAACAACATCAGACTTCAAACCTGGCCAAAATAAAATGTTGAAGGACTCGGTTAGAAGTCTTCGTGATCCCCAAGTGTCTGGACCAAGCCTGGTCATGGGCGAGTGACAGCACCTGCTGTCAGAACGGTGTAGGAACAACCACTTGACACACTTCACTCACTCACTAACGGTGTCATGAGCTGCCCATTTACACATAAAAACTCCTGCTTCCATAAAGTAGGCAGTCTCCTTAGTTTTAGCTTCCTCAATGGACATTACCGAAGTAAAACACTTGCGAAGACTGGTGTTTCTCTTTTGACATTCAATCACCTTCTCAGGGGTGACAGACAAAAGAATGTCATGTAATTGGGGCGCGATTTCACTTTCCCCTGCCTTAGTTTTTACGGGGGGTAAAAACTGTCGGCATTGCAGAAGGAATATTCGGTGCATTGTCTTCTACCTCAACCTTCTCAAAAATGGAACTAGCCAAATCCACCACATCTCCTAGCTTGCGAGATTGTGCCCTCGTTAACACACAAGCTGGAAAAACATGTGGAAATGCTTGAACCAGCTTATCATCTGCAATTCTGATTTCTGGGTTGTCTACTACCTCTAACACAGGAGTGACGTTACCACCAGCAAAATCATTCCCTAGTAACAATGTAACTCATTTTACTGGCAGTGTAGACACTACACCAACACGGAAACATCCTGATACCAAGTCTGACACTAAGTGGACCCAGTGTAATGGTACAGGTACTGTTGTTGTCCCGATCCCTTTTAATATGACATGCGAGCCACAATACGTTTCAGGAGACCAGGGTAAAGCATCAGTAATCATTACTGACTGCGCCGCCCCGGTGTCTCGTAAGATTTGAATGGGCTTTTGATCAGCTTGTTCTCCAGTTAAGGAAACACAACCGGCAAATATAAACGGAGCATAGACAGGATGCGGTTTCTCAAATGCTGAATCAATAACTCGATCCAACGGACGAGCCAAAGACTTGACTAAACCCATACTTTTGGGGATGGTGACAGGGACTGTTTCGGTTTATTTTTCAAAACCGGGCAGTCCGCAATCACATGACCCTTTTGGTGACAGTAAAAACATTCACGGACTTCATGAAAAGGCTTAGGGTTGTCAGAGGAAAAGCGACCTGAACGAGGCACTGATGATGTAATCATTCGGTCTTCAAAACGAGGCGCACCAAAGACAGTCTTGTGTGTCAAAGCGTACTCATCTGCTAACACTGCTGCCTGGGCCAATGTCACCACTTTGTTCATTTAAATGAACTACAATTCTATCAGGGAGGTTGCTTTTAAAATCCTCTAACAGCATCAACTCCCAAATATCAGCAAAGGTGTTAGCTTTGCTGGCTGAACACCAGCGATTAAACAGAGACTCTTTGTCCCTTGCAAACTCAACAAAAGTACGGTGATGTTTTTTTGTGGTTCATGAAGCGCTGTCTATAAGCTTCAGGCACCAACTCATAAGCCCGCAACACGGTAGTTTCAACTGTATCATACTGTAAACTGTCTTCCAGGGAGAGAGCAGCTACTACTTCCTGGGCTTTCCCAGACAATTTACATTGTAACAGGAGCGGCCAAACCTCGGGTGGCCAATGTAGCGCAGCGGCCACACGCTCAAAAGCAAAGAAATAGGAATCAACTTCCGACTCTCGGAATGGAGGGACTAACGCTATATTTCTACTTACATCAAAGTGGGCTTGATGATAAGTAGTTTGTGGAGTCGCACTATAAGCCCCAGTTCTGAGCAACTGAACTGGGGCTTATATAGCTTCAGAAGGAGTTGGTAATTGGAGACAGCTGCGTCCTGACGAGGGCGCGGGGTCAGCTCTCCAATCATCAATGTTCATTGACCAATCAGCTGCTTGTTGGGGAATTTCAGGAACCCATTTCCTGAAATACATACATGAAAATACACAACCCACAACACAGAAACTGGGGAACGTAACATGCACACACACACACAAACACACAAAAGAAGAGTTAATAAACAACTGAAAAACTTTTGTTGTCAGCACCATTTTCACCAAGTCAAATTTCTGGTATATGTAAATGTGCTTGATGAATAAAGGTGATTCTGAGACTGATTCTGATTATACACTGAGTGTACAAAACATGATGAGCACCTGCTCTTCCCATGACATAGACTGACCAGGTGAATCCAGGTGAAAGCTATGATCCCTTATTGATGTCACTTGTTAAATCCATTTCAATCAGCGTAGATGAAGGGGAGGAGACAGGTTAAAGAATTATGTTTAAGCCTTGAGACAAGGATTGTGTATGTGTGCCATTCAGAGGGTGAATGGGCAAGACAAAATATGTAAGTGCCTTTGAACAGGGTATGGTAGTAGGTGCCAGGTGCACCGGTTGGAGTGTGTCAAGAACTGCAACGCTGCTGGGTTTTTCAGGCTCAACAGTTTCCCGTGTGTATCAAGAATGGTCCATCACCCAAAGGACATCCAGCCAACTTGACACAACTGTGGGAAACATTGGAGTCAACGTGGGCCAGCATCCCTGTGGAACACTTTCGACACCTTGTAGAGTCCAACTCAATATTAATGAGGTGTTCCTAATGTTTTGTATACTCAGTGTATGTGTGTCTTTGTATCAGTCTTTTTCGTGTGTGTCTCACCATCGGTCCAGTTTGCCTCTGATATGCCCAAGTCAGTGAACAGTTTGTCAGAGTACATGGCCGGACGTCTCATGCTGCCTGTGCCCATAGGGTCCAGCTTGAAGAAATCACAGTGGACCACCTCCAGCTGGCCATCCAGACGACTCTCTAGAGCAGGGTTCTTCAATTCCGGTCCTGGAGGGCCGAAACACTTCAGTTTTTTATTTCTACCTGGTAGTTAATTGCACTCACCTGGTGTCCCAGGTCTGAATTAGCCCCTGATTAGAAGGAGACGATGAAAAACAGAGGTGTTTCGGCCCTCCAGGACCGGAATTGAAGAACCCTGCTCTAGAGCCTAGACACACCCCTGAATGTTGGTACAATGCAAATGTAAGACATTTAACTCTCCTACTAAACACAACGTTGGTCCGTAAAGGCTGAGTAGACTCACCTGCAGGTGAGGTAGGAAGGACATGTCGCCCTCGAGAGTCACCAATCTGAGCTCCAGCATTCAGCAATGTCCGCGTCAGCACCCCTGGGCCTGAGACACACACATTCTAATAAGCATCGTTACTGACAACACACAAGTCCCAGAAGAAAAAGAAGAGACACACACCACATACCTGGGTTACATTCAAATATAGCGGCCTTGCTGTCCTCCAGGTCAGGTCCTAGATGGTGTGTGACCAGTCTGGCCAGGGCTAGCTCCATGATGAAACGTCTGATGGTCTTACAACCCTGAACGTTCTCCTCTACCTCCCCCAGGTCCAGGAAATCATACATTCACAGTAAAAGACACTGGCCCAACACACACACACACACACCTTAACAAACATCCTCCTCTCTCCCCATTTCATCACCCCAACTTCAATGAACTTTCTCTCCCCTCTTCCTCCATCTCCTTTCTCTCCTCCTTCCTTCAAAAACATTCACTGATCTATTCCTGTGTGTTTTTATCTGAATCTGTGTTTTAACACTGTTCATTTCTATGTTGTTGTCATGTCAAATCAATAAGACATTGTCCACATGAACAACACAAACCCAATAGCAGTAGCACAGTTCTGGAGCTACTGGTCTGCTGTTGTTTGCGTGGATTAATTATTATATGGGATGTACTTGTCAGGTTCCTGTGGGTCAGGGCTGAGGGGGATGTTCGGTCTGTTCTAGCCTATTGGGGCTGAGGTCGGACAGGGTTGGAGGACACCGAGTCCAGGTTTAAGGCCCGTCTCTGGAGCAGGAGCCTGGGGTTACAGGTACCGGGGGTGGCAACACACAGACCGCACAGTCACCACAAACAGTCTATGCGCCTGGGTGGACATGGTGGACGGATGGTGAGAGGGAGGAGGGATGATGGTCACAGGCTGTGAATGGAGGAGGAGCAGAGGTAAGGAAGAAAAGATAAGGAAGAATTCTGAGTGTCTCTATGGTTAGGACTAAGTATGATTCTGGGTGCAATAGTTTTTGCTTAGACACCACTCAATGATAACTTTGTTTATGAGTAGAGTCTGTCTGCATCTTTGCTTAGTTTAGAAAAATAGTTATGACAGCTACAGTTGATAGGGGACCATGTCTATACACTGTACTGTCAACCAAAACATGACATGCTGCACAAGCACGTCCTTCAAATATGACAATGTCCGGAAGCAGTGGCGGCTCCTGAAAAAATTCTCAGGAGGGGCAATTTTTCTGATGATTTAGGTGACCTACACACATTTTAAAAAAGATATGTCCAGCAACAACATGAAGACAGGGGCAGCATATAAGTCAATACCAGAAGCATTTATTGACTGATCTGGGGAGATGGATTCCAGTTTCTGTGACAGATTATAAATAATCTCTGATGCCTTTGTTATATTAGCTTTTGGTTGAATGTACTGTCGTAGTAAATATATAATGTTATAGCTTGGTCTGACTAAAATCTTGTGCATGACCCATTTTGTGTTGGGCCTTTGTATTCAATACAATGAACAAGAGTCCTATCTTGTCAGCCTTGTCAGCAGGTGGCTAAGGATAACACCCACGCCATAGGTCTCTCAGTTCTTCCAACTCACGAGTTCTTGCCCTGAGGACACACACACACACACACACACACACACACACACATCATCACTGATAAACACACACACACACACACACACACACACACACACACACACATCATCACTGATAACAAACACACACACACACACACACACACACACACACACACTGATAACAAACACACACACACACACACAAATCCTCTTCTCTTAGGCTGAACATCTGAAGACAGAGAACCCGACTCAGAGCCAATGCAACAGTGACACTAGCCTGGAGGTGACCTCGCCCAACTCATCAGGACCAATCAGAAGATCAGAACTACTAGATTCAACCTACTTCATTTTATTGTATAAAATGTCAGCACACAATGTTTAGGGGCTCTTCTGATAAACTCCCTACGAGTTTGACGAACGGGTCCGTGCACGCGATTCCAGATATCTTTACCTCTGAATAAACTGCCTTATATTATACAATTATCCACCTTGTCCAAAAGTCTCTACTTGGTCTCCGTTCTCCAGTAAACTTGTTTTATCAACAATAGTAAGGTTCAATGACACAGAAAGCAGTTCAATGTCGGGGTACAGAGTCGTTCTCTTACCAGGATTGCGGTCCGCTCTGACCAGGGTGAAGCCGGCCGGCTCCACCGCTCTGTCCGGGACTCTGTCATCCAGCCAAGTCTCCCAGCTGTATTGGGATTCCGCTGCCAGCAGCGTTTTCATTATTTAGTCCGTTCGTAGCGGGTATGTACACGATCAACAAGATCAGTCCAAAACCGAAGATCAGTCCAAAGCAGAATGTTTGCAGAATGTTTGTAAACTAAGTCTACAAATTAAAAACATAAAATAACGCCACACTGCAGGTCGCAACATAGACGCTGCTAGCCGCCATTGTCTTAGTTACGTTCAACGTTACGTCACGTATGACGAAAGCGCGTAAGTGCATGCCCACAGACACCCATAGAGAATGTATTGAAAGCTTTGAAATGTGAAAAAAATAGATTTTACATGACAGGCTATGAGAGACTTCTGGGCGATTTTCAACCTGACTGAAATCGCCCAAAAAACGGGCGGGGCCATTTGAAGCACGACTTTAGCCTGATTTGACATTTAGTGGCTGGCAGATCAGACGTGAACACTGATAACTGCTGTTGCCGTGATATAATTGATTAGAAAAAAAATCCCTTCCTTTTCCCGTTTGGCAGTGCGTCGCCCATATCGCCCTATTGAACAAGCCGTCCCTGTCCGGAAGGTAACTAACGTTCTAGCTGGCACACAAGCCCGACACCACGTGACTTCAGTGAGCTGAGGATCCATTACCAAAATCTATTCTCATTGTTAAATTAATTTTAGATAGATACATGCCGCTGTATGAATAATTTCACTTAGCAAGCTGAGTTCGAATCGGATAAATAATTTTTCAAGCAAGCTAGCTGAGGATGGTAGCTAGCTAACTCTATGGTAGCTAGCTAGTTAGTTACATTATATACCAGCCTAAACTTATATTTTAGATAGCTAAATATGCCAACACAGTTTGGAGATGGCTGTATGTCTGGCTAGTTCGCTTGCATGCCTTGTATTATTACGGAAACTGAACTGTGACGCTAACTTTAGCAAGTAGCTAGCTAGCTTGCTAACTTTAGCGAAATCTGGCAAGCTGATCAGCCGCAGCAAGTATGATAAATCGCGTAAAACATATTCTTCGATGGGGTTTAGCGACGGTTGGCTTCCAATGTTAACGGTGCATTACTGCCACCAGCTGGACGGGGTATTCAATAACAAACTAAAAAACCATTGTGGGAAAGGGGGAAAACATCATCATACAAAATTAAACACTTCAAATAACAAAACCCATTCCACTTCTTCAATCACAGTCCACTCCAAAATATGTCCCTAACAGGCTAAGGGGCTTGTGATGTCGGAACATTCACCCGTAGGATTTCTTGCCGTGAAATCACAAAGTCCCAAAAAACGTTCAGCTGCATTCACAATGATTCCGATTTTCTTAGACTTCTTCTCCACTTGTGCTGTACAGTTTATGACTATTGCAATAAATAATACAAAGTCCACCTTTTTAACATGTAACATTTCACTATCCCTGGGTTGATGAGAAACCTTCACTGGTCGTGGTGGCTCTACTACCATTGGTTCTTCCCCGCCACTCATTCCTTCCAATCTTCTCACCACCTCCAGATAGGAGACATGCTGGACACTCCTTAACCTTGCCACCTAATTCTCCTTAACACTAACAGGGAACTCCAGGAATTCAGGTGCATGTTCACCTCCACAGTCACAACATTTCACCTCATCTGGCAGATTATACTCTTCCCTTCTGCACACACTTGATACATGACCAAATCTTTTACATTTATGACACTGAAGGGGCTTGTGCAGGGTATCTCATGAATACCCCGCTTACAGGGTATCTCATGAATCCTAACTTTATATGAGAAGGGAGAGACTCTTCATCAAAGAACAGTTTCATGGATGAAGTGAATTTATTTTCTCCATCCACCGTACAGGTTAGTCGACGTGCACCAACCACTCCATCGATGTCTTCAGTAATACCCTCTGCCTTTATTTCTCGGCCACCCCAGAATTAAATGGATTTCCCAAGTAGCATTGATCCAAAACCCTCACTCTGACTAAAAACCAGTCTAGTGGTTTCCTATTTTCCACCACAGCTTTACTTCTCTTGTTTCCCTTCTTCTTCGCCACTGTAACCCTCATTCTCACTTTCTGTACTATTAGCTTCACCTGAGTCACTAGCAGTTTCAAACAAAACCTCAGGTTCCACCAGAGCGGAGTTGAGTGGTTGGTTGCAAAAAACCGCTCCATGCTCACAGGAAAGAAAACTGCCGCACCAAATTCGTTCCATTCGTTAAAATCACAATTTAACCAAGACCCATCTTTTTTGTGACTACCTGGACATACCAATTGGTTTTTAACTATTGAAATCAAATCATATGGATTTGAATGAAAAGTATTTGAATAAACACGAAAAGCTGAATGTAAGAAGCAAACATCATTTCAAATAGGCTACATGTCATATTAAACAGCAGTAAAAAAAAATTGAATAGAGACTTGGTGATTTTATGATCGGAATCAGATCGAAATGATTATATTATTGTCACTGAATATATTATGTACCAATCAGATGTGTTAAAAATGTTATTCAATTTGTAGTGTAGGCCAATTCACTGTGTCACGCCCTGACTCAGAGGACGCTTAGATGTTGAATCAGGGTGTGTATATTCCTTGTTGGTATTTTCTATGTTGTATTTTCTATGTTTAGATCTAGTATGTCTAGATCTATGTTGGCCGGTGTGGTCCCCAATCAGAGGCAGCTGTCGCTCGTTGTCTCTGATTGGGGACCATACTTAGGCAGCCTATTGGCACTAGTGGGTTGTGGGATCTTGTTCTGTATAAGGTTTGTTGTGTGTTACCTTAGGACTTCACGTGTCGTTAGTTTATTGTTTTGTCGTTGTGTTTATTAAGTTTAAAATAAACATGTTTGCATATCACGCTGCGCCTTGGTCTGATCCGTCTGTGAATGAACGTGACAGAAGATCCCACCAAACAAGGACCAAGCAGCGTGCCCAGGAAGAGCGAATAGCCATGTCACAGGTGGGCAAATGGTGGTCATGGGAGGAGATCTTTTCGGGAAAAGGACCCTGGGCGAAGAAGGAAGCCCAGGCAGGAGAGGAGCAACGGCAACACGGAAGCCGGCCGAGGAGGAAGCCCGAGAAGCAGCCCCAATAAAAAAATGTTGGGGGGCTAAAGGGGTGGTCGGGGAGAGAGAGAGAAGAGCCCCGACCACTGCACCCGGTTGGTTTCAAGATTGGGTCCCCACGACCATGGGAAGACGAGTGGGAACAGTATTATACTGAGGAGTCGGAGGATGACGACGACAAGTTTCTGTTCCCTAACTCGTGGCGGCTCCCGGAGGAGTCCTCACGGGAAGAGGAGTGCCGACGACGGAGACCCGAGAGGCAACCCCAAGAAAATGTTGGGGGGGGGCACAGGGGGTGGATGACGAGGCAGCAGGAGGCCGTGGAAGGGCGAATCTGCAGGTTAGGAGAGGAGGCCACCATGTTACGGGGGCTATTGGTTCAGAGGGAGCAGGGGTTTTTCGGTCAGAGGGAGGTGCTACAGGAGGCTAAAAGGGAGAAGGAAAGTGTAGAGGCACGGCGAGAGGAGCTGGTTAGGCAGCAGAAGGAGCGGGGGTTTATAAAGGAACCCAGTCCCGCTCCTCGCACCAAGCAGGTGGTGCGTGTCGCCAGTCCGGTCCGGCCCGTTCCTGCTCCCTGCACTAAGCCAGTGGT